GCTGTCTATTTTGCCCTTTCCACGGTTTCTCCACCGTTTCCTCTCACGATCGCGGGGGTGGTCCTTCTGAGTAGTATCACGATACCACGGCAAAAATGAGGCAGATGTGCCTTTTGTCATTCATAAAAAAGATGAATCACTTTTCTATAATACATCAATATATTTCAGTGGAATAAATTACATATTGACTTATTCATAGGCCTACTTCAAAAACAGCACCAATAAGTGATTAATCAAAATAAAATAAAAAAATAAAATAAAAATCAACCAGCTACCCTCCTCCCCTGACAAGTAAAGAACAGTCCCTTCATAAGTAAAGAACAGTCCCTAAAGTGCGGTGAGGTTTGTGGACCGTTACCTGACACAAAGAGAGAAATGTGAACGACTTGTTTCTCCTCTGACACGCCACATAGCCTACCTGTGTGCCGCCACGGCTCGGTTGTCCAGGTACTACTGGGCAGTCATGACACCAACAAAAGAGGAAATTACTGGACCTGGAGACGGACTTCTCTGTCGCCGGTAAGTTGTTATCTTGCGCCGCAGAGCACTATGAGCCTCCGCCGTATTCCTATCTGTGACCCCCGTTCAACCCACAACCGCCAGGATTCGCCTTTCCTTTCTGCTGCTGGTTGAAACGTGATGACAGAGATATCTCTGGTGATAATAGGGGCGCCCCAGCGCCCACTCCACTAACTTGACGCGGAGGGTTAAATATACAAATCAGAATCTCACTGGTTGACAAAAACTCGGTTCTGTGTGAGATGAATGTTAAAGAAGACTTCCCGACTGAAGCAAAATCAGCACTTTATTCCAGGAGTTCAAGGTAAGTAAGAAATGTGTGTTGATCTACTGTAACATAAAGCACAGTGAGCTGCTGAGAAAATGAGGAAAGTTTTCTGTTGTTAGCTAAACTGTGTAAAGTTACGGCTTTCAAAGTAAATGTTTTCCACCAACGTGACTGTGATTTTTTTATTGCTCCATGATGCTGCTTGGCTTTTATTCTGAAGTAAGCACAGGAAGTAATGCACAAGTGATATCCACTGGCACTGGTTAGTAGCAGAGACGTTTGCCTAGAAGGACTTTGTTAGTAGTTTTACCGTCAAGCCTGGATATTACGAAGCCACATTTGACCAGTTCGCTACCATTTTGCAGTACTTTATTGTTGGACCACTTTCATAACCACTTGGACTGCTGAGATTTGTATCAGTTTGTGGGAACTGCGACACACAACGTTATAAGGTAATGCAACGTTAAGCAGGTGTCCCGACACCCGAAACTCTCCCGCCTACTCATTTATTAATTTTTAAGGGGGCAAGGGGGCATGTAACGTTATATATTTTTTTTTTGGGACTGCTGAGATTTTTTTCAGTTTGTGTGAACTGCAACACACGACATTATAAGGTAATGAATGTAACGTTAAGCAGGTGTCCTGAGACACTCCCACCTAACGTTACTCATTTAGGCTATTAATTTTTAACTGGGATAGGGAGCATGTATTTTTTTTCTTAATATACTAACGTCTGTCAAGCTCTGTTTCATTGGAAAACCATGTAATGTCGGTGTTAGCTTGGTCAAAAGAGCAAATTAGCTAAATTACTCAGGCAAAAATAGGTTGTGCTGTTGTTTTTCTTTTCTTTACTCTTTTAAATAGATATTTCAAGGGCTAAATTAATGTAACATTAATCTATTGTTTGTCTTTGCCCCTTTGTCTTTTTCCCGCCAAGTGTGGTGCAGTGTTGTCCTGCTGTCCTGCCCTTCTGTCCCTCAGAGTGCTAACATTATGTTAGCTTCAGCTCTTTGCAAGACAAGACAAAGCAGCAGGTAAAAAGACATCATATTTAATCAGAATAAAGGAAGACAAAAAATAGTCTGGAAATTTAGAGACATAGCTAAGGTAATCTAACCTAGCTTTGAGCTTGCTTGTGTAGGTTAGCCTGCTTAAATACCAACTGTGGTGTATTATTTTATATAAGTTACGTTTCAAAAGCAATATCTCTGACATAACAGTGTAGTGGTTGAAGGTTGAAGAGGCAAAAATCGGTGCCTGGAATTGGGCCTGTAGGCTCCCGACCTTGTCCTCAACGTTGCTTCTCAGTTGTCCTCTGGTGTCGATCTGGTACCTTGGGTTCAGCTAAGTAATACTCAAAGAAACACTGGAGACAGGCAGAGTCCGATGCAATCGAGTTTAATGTGTTCACAAGCATCAACACATACAACTCATCGAGTCAAGCCCCGGAGCTGGACTGAAAACCGCTTCTCAGCACGTCTGCTTTTATGCTGGTGGAGACTGGGTGGAGTCTCCACCTCTTTCTGCTAATCCATCCCACTCTAATCCAAATCTATTGGTGGAAACCTTTTTTTTTTTGTCCAATCATGAGCAGGCCCGTTTTTAATGGTGTATCACTTTCATTTTGAGTCTGGAATTCCCCAGGTTTTCCACCCTTAGCTCTGGATTTGCTTTCACTTTATTTTTAAAAAACATGTGAATTTTAGGGACTTTCTTTATGCAGCCCCTTGTGCTCTCATGTGCTCATGCAGTATGAACCTTTAATGTGCATCAGGTAATACAAACATTTGAGCGTGTGTGTGTGTTATCATTATACAAAACATGATAGGTTATATGTGCGTTCTTTAGCATGGATACAATATCAGCTCATAACTTCGTATTGTGAATACTTTGACATGTATAACAGTGCTTTAACACATATAGATGCATTTCAATCAGCTTTATAGGCCCTTATACATAAAACATGGTTATATGATGATTATGTGACTTTTGTTTCTTAATCAACTTATGCAGTATAACACTTTTACTTGATTAGGAATTAACTCTTTACACTACAAGGTGGACACAAGGAAGGGCTTTACTGTGATGGACTCGAGGCTCATCCTACACTCCAGTGTGCTATGTGTGAGCTCAGTCCTGCGTGTTCTTTAATGAAGCAATAGGAGAAGATATTCAGTCTCAGTTAATGTAGTTTATTAAGCAGTAAAGGAATACAATTACAGAGCTCTGGGTCTCAACTTCACGTCCCTGACAAACAACAAAGGTGTGTCAGTTCACGAAGTCTGACCTCCTGTCCTTCCCCTGACCCAGTATATTTGAGCGTAACAGAGTGTCATTGTGCACGCGAGGCGTTGTCCTCTTCTCATTGGCAGTTCCACTTCCTCCTTCACCACACCACGCCCCTGCCTCGTGTTAATCTGACTCCTTCCCACTGGCGTTGGGGGCGTGGTTCCTGTTTTGAAAGACAAGAGAACAACACAACTCCCTACACGTGCTGTACCTTACTATCTGTTCATCACTTTCTATTCTTTTTACCATATATGAAACTAATTATCTAAGCATTGCGGTATGTGCTCCTCAGACTTCATGTCTCTTCCTCTCCTGTACTTCTCCACTTCTGCAAAGNGCAGAAAGGCACCAGTTGCTTCAGGCGTTCCTCAGCAGTGGATCATTGTTTGCCCTAGCAGTTCAAGCAGTTGGTGAAACTAGTAAATATGATGAGCAGTTGTGCAATGGACTTATTCAGGAGTCTGTCAGGACAGCTGGCTTGACAAAAGAAACCACGTCAGAGGTATCAGCAGTAGTTTACAAAGGAACAAAGTATAGCAAAGGTCTTGTTGTTGCGATGGGTCATAATGAACATGCCCACATCTCTGGAAAAATCTCAGTGATCCTCATCAGTCACAAACAAGTACACTTTGTTTTGGACATGCTTCAGTCTGTGTTACTGATTGATCTTGGACTTCACTGCCTACACAATTCTGAAAAAAGATTCATATGTGTTCAAGCAGACAGTTTGTGTGATTACTACCCTCTGCCAGTGTATAACGCTTCAGGCTTGACCGTTGTATCTTTGCATCATTCAATATCCTTCTCTTAAATCATTGCAGATATGGATGATGGCAGCCTACAGCATGAAATTAACCTGGCATTACCTGAACTGCATGAAGAGACAGCAAGGACACTTACTGAGCACCTAAGAGACATTATCAGTGTCAGAAACAGAGAAGATCTCCTGTTTGTTGAGCCTGACGACATTAAGTCTTTCCTGACGCCAATACAAAGTCGAAGACTCATTCAAGTATTCAGAAAAGGTGAGAATATATTGGTGTCATAAATGGTAGAAGACCTGTCTTGAAAATAGTTGGACATGAGTTATTTTGAGAGGTATTTTAAAATTGTACTTCATATATCAATTCATAGATCATAAAAGAAAAAAAAAATCTTGAAACTAGCTTTCATTGCCAAGGGTATTATTTCTCCAAACACTCTTGATTTTGTTTCTCATATAAACTTCAGAGCTTACACTTAATACTCAATAAATATTCCATCTGTACATAGTTAATGTGGAATTATTCTGTTGTGTTTATGTATGTATGTGTGTGTGTGTGTGTGTGTGTGTGTGTATTCAGATGACCAAGTGGAGTCAGATTCTTCAAACCACCCAAAGGAACCTGAAACCAACTGCCCACCAACTGTGTTCGTGTCACTAGAGGGTTATTCACTCCATTCTGCACAAGCATCAGGTCAACTCCCTTCCACACAACCAAATGCAAGCAACGCCTCCTGGATCAGCAGTTTTTCAGTTCCATGGGAGAAGATGCCGACGAGACTCTCACAGGCCATGGCAAGAGGTGGAATGGCTCCCCAGAAGACAGGAGAATAATGATTAGGACTGTTGTGGAAGCAATGCGAGTACACTGCCCCAACCCTAATAGAGCTGCTTGTGCGGAGGTAGCCAGAGCTATTGTATCTAAGTATCCCGCTACCTTTGCGGATAATTCTGCAGACGGTGAGCAGTTAGGCTGCGGTTATTATTCCCTACTCAAACAGCTTAAAACGAGAGTTGAACATGTAAACAGAGAAAATGGCAGCAGCAGAATCCAACAACCAAGGAAAAGGCCTACCAGTGAAAACAATGGTGGTGATGCTGCCATCAAAAGGGGGAGATGTGAACTTGATAGCTATGGTTGCATCAACTGGCAACCCACAACTCTACCAGAAGGAGAAACGGCAGAAACCTTGGAGACAAAAAGACAGACTATGTCAACTGTCTTCAGATCAGCAGGACCTCAAACTATTGAGACAAAAGATGTAAATGAATTTATGTCATTGACTTATACTTACCAGAGGCACATGCTAAATTATTGGCCTGACCACACCTTATGTGAGATTCAAGAGCATTGGCCATTTCTTTTTACTAAAAGAGGCCTCTGCACTCACTTCCACACACTCACAGATATTGAGGTAGACACACGCCTCAGTGAAGCTCTTCTTATGAAGGGAAGGAGAATTTGGAACTTCTTTCAAAGCCAGAGACTTAAGTGGAACAAGGAGACTGAACATCTGCTACGTGAGTGTGACAGCGCAGAGTTGAACCACCACCAGATCGCCACAACAGCCATCCTTCTACTGATGAAGTACTTCCAAGAAAAAGAGGACTCAATCTTCATCTTGGCTGATGTAATTATCTTTTAAATTTTACACATTCACTGTCAACATAAAACACACATCTTAAAGGAGAAATGTTTAAATTATTTAGGGTATCATCATTCATATCACTTCCTTTTATGTTTTAAAGGCATCTTCCACCAAGATGTCTGTTGAGAGGGAGATGACCTTAGCCACCACATCAAGGGTAATCGTGCTTGGTAAGTAAATATTTTCTATCATATTGTAATTTTTTTTGTAGAAATCTATGTAATTATTGTGGTATTCTATATTTTTACCCACGACAGTTAACCTAACAGGGGGTTGTCTGTTTTAGATTGTACAAAAATAGGATCCACACACAGTTTGCTGCTGTATCTCTTATTATTTATTATACATGATGACCAACAGGAAAAAACAGCCTAACGTTTCGGCACAGGCCTAAAGGCCGAAACGTTAGGCTGTTTTTTTCTGTCATCTGTCATCATGTCAAATAATGTCAAATAATAAGAGAAACAGCAGCAAACTGTGTGTGGATCCTATATTTGAACAGTGTGAGGCCTGCTATCTGTGGACTGATCCAGCACCCGTGTGGAAACAATTATTTGTAAGGGTGAGCACATTGTCCTGTTGAACTCTGTCTGTTTTAGGGAATAGTTTGGTGTCTGCAACCCAGTGGATGGTCAGTATGGAGGGCAAGGTATTTTACGAGCCTGAGCAGCTGCATGACTTTGCCAGCGCCCTTGCTGTCTTCTTTGCGTCATACTACATCTTCAACCTGGAGTATCAGGAGTCAGCGTCCACCACGCTGGAGATGATACATAGGTAAGTACTTGACACCATAAACCATTTAAGAATGAAAACTAATGCGTGATGAAGATGAAGAAACATATAGGTGATTGCTGTACTGTATGTCTTCATTTTAAAATTAAAGCGCCCTTTTTTCTGTTAAAAGATTCTTTGTGAGGATCAACCCAGACGTGGGTACAAAATGCCCTGCCAAACTCGGTACGAGCCGCAAGACAGGAAGTGTTGTCAAGAGCAAAGTGGCAAGCATCAGCTCTCAGGTCACCACCTTCCTCCAGCGACTCACTGAATTTGAATGGAGGACTTCCAACTAGGTAAGAATACAGAGATGATAATATCTTTCACATAGCCGATGAATATATACATAACTCTGTCCAACACTTATATATTACTGTACACACATCCATACAACACCATAAATAATCTCAGACAGACAGACGAGAGACAAACAGGTGTATAACCTTAGGAACATGAATACTGATCATGTGTCTCTGACAGGCGGTGATAAAGATCATTGATAACACTCAGCTGAACCCGACCATCCAGCAGAAGGTGAGAAACTCAACAACTCAGCTGTTCAGATCATTGATTAGTTTGGTTTTCCAGCAGCACTGAGTGACTGCTTTCATATTAACTGCTGTCCAGTAACAGCCAGGAAACACTGGCTTTAAAGACAGAGAAACAAACATGATATTATAGTTCATTAACTGAGTTTCTTACAGAGCAAACGTGTTACACATACTACACATTGTTAATGTTTTCTGATAATGTGGTCTTTGCTGTTTGGCATTTAATTTATGTACATGTTGGTGGATATGTTCTGTTTTGAGAACAAAGTTAAATGTTGCAAAAATGTTGTAAAAATGTTTTTTTTTTAAAGGAAAAGAAAGTTGCTTTTAAGCTTTCAAGTGTTTATTATTAAAAGTGTATGAAACCCATGACAGAAACAGTCATATTCTGTGTAAGTTATCAATGAAATTCTAGGGGAAATTTACTGGGGACCCCCTGATTATTATTATTATTTTTTATGAATTTCTTTTTTTGACAGACAGACAGACAGGTGACAGACAGACAGACAGACAGACAGACAGGGGACTGACAGACAGACCGACAGACAAACAGACAGACAAACAGAAAGACAGGTGACAGACAGACAGACAGGGGACTGATAGACAGATGACAGACAGACAGGTGACTGACAGACAGACAGACAGACAGGTGACAGACAGACAGGGGACTGACAGACAGACAGACAGACAGGGGACTGACAGACAGACAGGCAGACAGACAGACAGGGGACTGACAGACAGGTGACAGACAGACAGACAGACAGGGGACTGACAGACAGACAGGTGACAGAAAGACAGGGGACTGACAGACAGACAGACAGACAGACAGGGGACTGACAGACAGGTGACAGACAGACAGACAGGGGACTGACAGACAGACAGGTGACAGACAGACAGGGGACTGACAGACGGGACAGACAGACAGGGGACTGACAGACAGACAGGTGACAGAAAGACAGGGGACTGACAGACAGACAGGTGATAGACAGACAGGGGACTGACAGACAGACAGACAGACAGNGTTTGTCCAAATACTTATGAGCCCTTAAAGTTGGGGGACTGTGTGAAGAAATGGTTGTAATTCCTACACGGTTCATACTACATTTTTGAAAAAAGGCTTAAATGAAAGCTGAGAGTCTGCACTTTAAGCAGGTATTCATTGTTTCATTTAAAACCCATTGTGGTGGTGTACAGAGGCAAAATGATGACAACTGTAACATTGTCCAAATAATTATGGACCTGACTGTACATGATGACCAGCAGGAAAAAACAGCCTAACGTTTCGGCACAGGCCTAAAGGCCGAAAAGTTAGGCTGTTTTTTCATGTCATCTGTCATCATTTTCATCATATAATAAATAATAAGAGAAACAGCAGCAAACTGTGTGTGGATCCTATTTTTGTACAGTGTGAGGCCTGCTATCTGTGGACTGATCCAGCACCCGTGTGGAAACAATTATTTGTAAGGGTGAACACATTGTCCTATTGAACTCTGTCTGTTTTAGGAAATAGTTTGGTGACCGCAACCCGGTGGATGGTCAGTATGGAGGGCAAGGTATTTTACGAGCCTGAGCAGCTGCATGACTTTGCCAGCGCCCTTGCTGTCTTCTTTGCGTTGTACTACGTCTTCAACCTGGAGTATCAGGAGTCAGCATCCACCACGCTGGAGATGATACAGAGGTAAGTACTTGACACCATAAACCATTTAAGAATGGAAACTAATGCGTGACAGCTTGACTGCAGATGAAGAAACATATAGGTGATTGATATACTGTATGTCTTCATTTTAAAATTAAAGCACCCTTTTTTCTGTTAAAAGATTCTTTGTGAGGATCAACCCAGACGTGGGTACAAAATGCCCTGCCAAACTCAGTACGAGCCGCAAGACAGGAAGTGTTGTCAAAAGAAAAGTGGCAAGCATCAGCTCTCGGGTCACCACCTTCCTCCAGCGACTCACTGAATTTGAATGGAGGACTTCCAACTAGGTAAGAATACAGAGATGATAATATCTTTCACATAGCCGATGAATATATACATAACTCTGTCCAACACTTATATATTACTGTACACACATCCATACAACACCATAAATAATCTCAGACAGACAGACGAGAGACAAACAGATGTATAACCTTAGGAACATGAATAATGATCATGTGTCTCTGACAGGAGGAGATAAAGATCATTGATAAAACTCAGCTGAACCCGACCATCCAGCAGAAGGTGAGAAACTCAACAACTCAGCTGTTCAGATCATTGATTAGTTTGGTTTTCCAGCAGCACTGAGTGACTGCTTTCATATTAACTGCTGTCCAGTAACAGCCAGAAAACACTGGCTTTAAAGACAGAGAAACAAACATGATATTATAGTTCATTAACTGAGTTTCTTACAGAGCAAACGTGTTACACATACTACACATTGTTAATGTTTTCTGATAATGTGGTCTTTGCTGTTTGGCATTTAATTTATGTACATGTTGGTGGATATGTTCTGTTTTGAGAACAAAGTTAAATGTTGCAAAAAGGTTGTAAAAATGTAAAAACAAAAAAAAAAAAAGAAGAAGAAGAAGAAAAGGAAAAGAAAGTTGCTTTTAAGCTATTGGAACTGTATGAAACCCATGACAGAAACAGTCACATTCTGTGTTACTTATCAATGAAATTCTAGTGAAAATTTACTGGGGACCCCCTGATAATTATTGTTTTTTTTTTATGATTTTTTTTTTTTGACTGACAGACAGGTGACTGACAGACAGACAGAATAATTCATTCATTCATTCAATGTTCATGCTGGTGGATATGTTGTTTTGAGAAGAAAGTTAAATGTTCCAAAAATGTTTTTTTAAAAAAGGAAAAGAAAGTTGCTTTTAAGCTTTCAAGTGTTTATTATTGAAAGTGTATGAAACCCATGACAGAAAGAGTCATATTCTGTGCTACTTATCAATGAAATTCTAGAGAAAATTTACGGGGACCCCCTGATTATTATTATTATTATTTTTTATGATTTTTTTTTTTGACTGACAGACAGATGACAGACAGACAGGTGACTGACAGACAGACAGACAACAGGCAGACAGGTGACAGACAGACAGACAGACAGACAGGTGACTGACAGACAGACAGACTGACAGGCAGACAGGTGACAGACAGACAGACAGACAGGGGACTGACAGACAGACAGACTGACAGGCAGACAGGGGACTGACAGACTGACAGACAGACAGACAGACAGACAGACTGACTGACTGACTGACTGACTGACAGACTGACAGGCAGACAGGGGACTGACCGAAGACAGGTGACAGGATATGTTCTGTTTTCAGAACAAAGTTAAATGTTGTTAAAAGGTTGTAAGAAAAAAAAGTTGCTTTTAAGCTTTCAAATGTTTATTATAGAAAGTGTATGAAACCCATGACAGAAACAGTCACATCCTGTCATTGTGTAATTTGAAATGAAATGAAATGCATGAAATGCTAGTGAAAATAATTTGCTGGGGACCCCTGAAACCCCTTCAAGGACCCAGTATGTCTTTATTTAGTTTTTATAGCCTTCTGCTACCTTATTGTTGGCACTTAAATGATGCTCATGTGCTCATATTGGTGCATGTGTACAATTGTACAAAATTTGTCATGTCCTGTGGTGTGTTCCATTTATTTTGGTTTGTGACATTGGGCCTCATTCACAAACAGTGCGTACGCACAAATCTGTGCATAAACTGTGCGTACGATCGTTTGACGTATGAATATTTTCTTATCCGAATTTGTTCTTACTCTGCGAACAAATTTAGAACTGCCTCAGACCATGCGTACGCACAAATGAGGAAGGCCGAACTGACTTAGAAAATGCAAACATACCTTTTAAGTACATGCAGAGTCTATAAAACCACATTCATGAAAAAGAGATTTAATTAACATTTTTTAAAATAATTAATTTACTAATATATTGGCCAAATGGATTAAATTACCATGAAATTGACACACGTTCACCCTCATCATTGTGACAATTAAAATATTAACATGAACAGAAAAACTATCACTCCATCAGCGTGCAGATGATCTGTAATGCCGACTGCCATATCCTTAAGGCTGTGGCCCGCTGGCCAGGAGGCACCCACGACTCATTTATTTTGCAAAACAGTACAGTGGGAATGCGTTTGGAGGCAGGGGCTGTGATAAGTGGATGGCTTGTTGGTGAGCATCTTTTGTTCTAGTCTTTTATTTCAATTGTTTTAAGTTAGTATTTTCAGTAAGTCTCTATTCCGTTAATGTTAAAATGTTATATTGTTTGGGTGACCGGGCATATGGCCTTAAAACATGGCTGATGACACCATACGCAAACCCTGAAACCCCTCAAGAGGTGCGCTATAATAACATACATGCCCACACATGCGCCGTAGAGCGCACTTTTGGCGTGCTTAAGGGCCGTTGGATGTGTTTGGATCAGATACGGCCGGTGGCAAACTAATTTATACCCCTGAGAAGGTGTGCAAGATCATCCTGGCATGCTGTGTCCTCCACAATCTTACAATGACCCATGGCATTCCTGTAAGACCCAGCGCCATCGCTTCTAACAAACTGTGAAATTTACTACTTCTCTCCTCGCATAACCGCTTCCTTCATTCATGACGCATCAACTCTAGGCAAGCGGTTTCCTTATATGGAGAAATGGGGGCGTGGTAGTATGCTGATTGCAGATCGCGGACACGCGCCTGTCAATTTAGAATGGTTCTGATTTACTAACGTGGTGAGAACAAAATTGGCCAGTACGCACGTGTCATGAATCCGACGGTGATTTTGCACAAGTACTTATTTTTTGCGGAGAGTAAGAACATTTCTGCACAGATATTAGTGAATGAGGCCCATTGTTTTTATGCCATTGAAAATTGATTTAATTGTTAAAAATCTGTTGACAATAAATGCCTGTTTTATTCACTATTCTCAGACTAATTCTTATTTTATTAAATTATATTGTTTATAGTAAAATGTTCTTATATTGAATATGGTAAACCTAAACCTACGGTAATACACCGCAATATTAATGTGTTATGCTGTAAAACACAATTACAGTATAGACAAGTTATACTGTACAACACAATTACAGTATTATACTATAAACCACATTTACAGTAGAAGAGTTATACTGTAAAACTTACTCACGGTAAGACTTTGTAACTGTAAACCTCACTTACGGTAAAGCAGCTTTACTGTAAGTGAAGACACTTTCACATTCACAGCAAAGCTGTTGTACTGTAAAACATATTTACAGTAAAGTGGTGTTACCGTGAAACATCAAAACAGTAAAGGTACTGTAGACCAGTAATT